GATTCAGATGAGGAGCAATTTCAAGTGTTATTGACTATTCATGCATTTATGGAGATTAATGGATCTTTTATGGAGCAGCCTCGACCACAAAGGATTTCAAAATTAAGTGGGCATGATTGGGTGATTGAGGTTCTAGGTGGTCACCCGGGTACTTGTTTTGACCTCTTCCGAATGAAAAAGAAAGCATTTATTAACCTTTGTGAAGAGTTAAGGAGAATTAGAAAATTAAAACATTCTAGAAATGTGACGATTCAAGAACAAGTAGCAATCTTTTTATTTGTGCTTTCTCATAATGAACGCCAACGTATGGCCGCAAATCGTTTTCAACACTCACTAGAGACCATCTCTACATATTTTAAGAAGGTCCTTTATGCAATTTGCTCTCTAACCAAATATGTGATCGTTCCTCCATCATACGATGCAACTCCACCAGAGATATCATATACCACAAAGTATTATCCTTATTTCAAGGTATGTATATATTCCTTCCTACATTAATTATGTGAATTTTTTTACTATCGTTCTAATAGTAATATATTACATGACAGAATTGTGTAGGGGCTATAGATGGAACTCATGTTTCAGCTTGTGTGCCGCAAGATAGTCAAGTTCCATATCGTGGAAAGAAAATTGTGCCGACAATGAATATGATGTGTGCTTGCTCTTTTGATATGCGGTTCACATTTGTTATGAGTGGATGGGAAGGAAGTGCAAATGATTCAAGAATTTTCTTAGAGTGCATTAGCAATCCCGCAAACAAATTCCCTATGCCCCCTGCAAGAAAGTATTATTTGGTTGACTCTGGATATACCAATATGCCGGGTTTTCTTTCACCGTACCGTGGAGAACGATATCATTTGAATGATTATCGAGGGCAGAATCTTCCACCGCAAGGTACTAGAGAACTATTCAATTACTTGCATTCGTCATTAAGGAATGTTATAGAACGATGCTTTGGGGTATTGAAAAAAAGATTTCCAGTTTTAAGAGATATGCCATCATATAGTTTGAGAAAACAAAAATATATAGCATTAGCATGTTGCGTTATTCACAATGTGATTCGAATGTATGATTCTGGAGATCCATTATTTGTCGAGTTTGAAAATGAAGATGTGGAGCTTGAAGAAGATGATATGATTGCACAAGAACAACAAACCATACAGGTCAATGTCGGCCCGGAGCACCTTCGTGAGATGTCAAGGTTTCGAGATCGTTTGGCCCAAAGGATGTGGAACGATCGTGGTGGGTAATATCGGGTTGTGTTTTGAAATTAGTGTATATTATATTGTAATGTCACTAAAATACATTTTGAGCCTAATGTATATATATTATCAATGTTATTAGAACTCGTTCAACTGATTCATTACTTCTTGCAGATTTGAGTGTTGCGTTACATACTGCCGTTGGCCATAAAACTTCCATATAAATCTACATCAGCAACATAAGATTGATCGGCACCATCCGAAATGTTAACATCTCACAAATTTCTATGCTTCTTACCCAAGCAAAATCTTGGCAGAAGCATGAACAGCGTAGCACGAGGATAATAACACAACAAAATAAAAGAAAAATTGAGTACATCCAGGGCAAGAAAACTGACAGAGTTGAGGAAAATTACGACAACTATATTCAACCTCTTCCAGATCACAATATTTTATCATGCAAGCTTCTGGTATATACAACACAGAAGACCACAAGCTTTCCCCTTCGTTACACGAGAACAAAAGTATCAAGATACAATGTACAAGCTTCTAGTCTGCAATGTACAAGCTTCCAGTCTGGAACCAGAGGCCATTAACCTATCGCATCAATCGTTCCCCAAAGACTGCTATTTCCATATGCTCATACTTTAAGTTTGGATGCGCTCCTCCTTGCAGTTACAATTAAAATAAATACAAGAATGAACATGAAAGTTAAAATGTAAAGAAAATAAATACAACCACCCGCTAGCCGACGACTAACGGCCGACAAGTGGTTGGTGGTGGGGAGTGGCAACGGGTGAGAGTAAGGTTTAATTGGTTGGGTGTGTATCATATGCTAAAACTAAAATGGTGTTTTGAAAACACTTTTGAAAATAAAACACCATGACATGGTGTTTTTTTAAAAAACACAACCAAAAAAACACAATGGTTACCAAACATACCCTTAGTTTTTCCTTATGTTGTGTTGAGGGGAATTTTAGCATATATTGAGCAGTACTTAGCTGTTTCCAGTGGAACTGAAGTTTCGCCTATAAATATCATTCTACTCTTTCTAGTTTCTAGATTTCTGGTGCTTTCTCATGGAAGATTTTGCTTGTCTGAGTTAATCTACTGTGGGATTTGTCACGCCCCGAAATCTGCAGCGGAA